GGTGGTAAAGAATGTTTTGTTTAAATTTTATTAGATTTTAATTGTTAGTTAGTTGGCAATAGTATTTTAATTTTTATGTTTTAAATCAACGCATTACGTAAAATTGCGTAAATCTCTTTTTTTTGTTATTATGATAATAATTACCTATAAGATTATTCCCGTATGTTTTTTAAGATTCGCCGATTATGTATGTTTAAATTTATGAATTTTTAATGTATGTGCGCAAAGTTATTAAACTTTTAAATTTGTCGTTTGGATGATGCAAAACATTTGGCAGCCACTGTATATATAGCTTTGGGATGGTTATGTACGAGGTTATAACTGGTGAACGGCCATTTGGTGATCGAGGTCATGATATACATCTCGTATTAGACATACATATATAAAGGAGTACGACCTATGATACCAGATAATGTTCCCGGATGGTGCAAATTTATTATCGAAAAATGTTGGAATCCTATTCCAGAAAATAGACCAACTGCATATGAACTTGAAGACTTTATCGAATTTATCAACTATGGCTACGATACTTTGCATTTTCAGCACTACAATTCTTTAAACTCTCCTAAAACAAATGAAGAAATTAAAGAGTTCCTTAAACTAGAGAGACAGAAATTAAAAGAACTTGACGAGGAGAAGAAAAGGCACTCATAAATATAAGCAAAAAACAACAAATCCACCAAAATGCAATTTACACAAGTCGAATGTTTACTTCAAAATTAATATCAATTCCAACTAATACAGGTACGCACATTTGGTTTTATAATCAATCAGAATGACATTTCGGGTTGATTTTTATACCACAAATATTTAGATTTTACAAGTGTTAGTTTGTATGTTCCAATCGAGGTAAATTTACGTTTGATATTATTATTTCATCAATTCTTTAATCATTAATTCATTAATTTTTTTTGGTGATGGGAACAGATTTTGATATTATTATATCACACTAAATCGAAAAAAATGAGGATATACATGTACCTAGTAACTTTCAAGAAAACCAACTATAGATTTAGATATTAACTTTAGCTGATTTTATAACAAAGTGGTTTCAACTTTATGTAGTTTACGCGTATATTTATTATCTTAAACGCTATCAAAATTTATTAGTTTATATGTGTATATATACACTACCTGGACAAAAGTATCGCACACCCAAAATTTATTAATTGCATAAAATTGTACATAATAATTATATCTCAAATTTTAATCTGTTATAGTCTTACTTTTAACCAAACGCATATGTAGTTTTCGCATTGTTTGTAAACAAACATAAAAATATATAAATAAAAACATTCAACACCTTCTAGCATCTCTGATTCTTAAAATGTATCACTTAACTGAAAGTCAACGTGGTGAGTGATGAGAGTAGATTTACAATATTTGATAATGATGGACCAGGCCATGTTTGGAGAACTCCAGGCACTAGGTTTAATATAGCAAACATGGTTCCAACTGTAAAATTTGGTGATGGAGGACTAATGGTATGGGGATGTTTTTTGGGTAAAGGATTGGGTCCATTGGTAAAGGTGGAGGGCAAAATGAATAGATTGGATTATATACAGATACTAGAAAAGCATTTATTACCTTTGATAAATAAGGAATTTAATGGTAAGGGATATCTGTTTCAGGATGATAATGCCCCAGTCCATACTGCTAAGGATGTTAAGCAGTGGATGCTCACAAATAAAATCAATGTTTTACCAGATTGGCCAAGTCAGTCTCCTGACTTAAATCCAATTGAGCATTTATGGTCAGAGCTGGGAAGAAGAATAAGAAACCAACCACAAGTAATAAAAAATATTACAGAATTAGAAACTGCCTTACAGGAAGAATGGAGTAAAATTTCGATGAATCAAATAATCAGCTTGATAGAAAGTATGCCACAGAGAATAGAAGCAGTTATTACAAGTAATAGCTGGCCTACTAAATATTGATTTATATAGTTAATTCATTAGTTGAAGTATAAAATGTTAAAATTTGAGATGCAATTATTATGTACAATTTTGTGTAATTAATAAATTTTGGGTGTGCGATACTTTTGTCCAGGTAGTGTATAACAGATTTGACAGAAAATTGATGTTAAAATCTATATCAACCTAATTCACTTAATGCCAGAAAGAATTCACGATGTAATAAAGGCATGAGATGGCTATACAGGATGGTAGGATAGGCCAAATTCTATTTAATATACATATTTAAATAAAAAAATTAGTAGTTAATTTAATATGTCATATTTTATTATGTACAAAAAAGAAAAAAGCAATGCAATAGTATTTACCGAATAAACGTGTAATTTGCGGGATAATTATTCTATGCATCCATATTTAGTTTTGATAGTCTAAAAAACTATACTATTTATGACAAAACCCATTAATCAAAAAATGGATATCCTCAAATTTGCGTGAGATATTTTAACACAAACGAAAATTATTTTTTGTTGCATTAATTATAATCGCCACTGTAATGAAACGAAGAATAAACCATATATACTTTAATAAATTTAACAATTAGCTCTTTCACGGAACAGATTGATGTTCTGAACAAACCGCTTCATCTCATACATTGCGTCAATAGGCAGGAATCGTATGAAGTCACTATTTGATCTGGGCGTAAGGTCTATAATATCATAAAACGCTAGACTAAAATTTTCCATTGTCAGTATAAAGATATTTTCAACGTATTGCATTTTAAACACATTACTAAAAAAATAATTACCCGGTGCGCGGTCGGTCTTTTCGCTTCTGCCATCCTGTTAATGCATCACGAACATTGACTTTCATGTTACCTACAATCCACATCTTTTCATTGTACTGGATGGTCTCCTCGGCCTGTCTTTCCAATTCATTCTCTCTGTCATTATTTTTTACAGTATTAAGAAAGTTTTCGTTATCTGAATGTTCCAGATTTTCACTTTCTGTACGTCGGCGTTTATATGAACCGTCAACTATATTCTCCTTATCTTCAGTTTCAAAATCTATTTGATGTAATATTCAATAAGGGTGAAACTGTAAAAAGATTAAATAACGCATATACCCAATCGTTGTCTCGACTCATTAGGTCCTTTTTTTATCGGTGTCTCTAATGCCCCAACATTGCCAATTTTTACACTTTCACAAGAAACAAGTTGTATGCAGTTCGTTCCCACGTTAATATTCTTTTCTTTAAGAGTATTTTCAACACCAAGCCATAAGTTATCCACGTTGCTTCCCGTTTTACGTTGATTCCCATGCTGACATAAAAGCAAAGAAAAAAATACTATTAATATATCTAGCGTGCTACTAAAAAATGCTATCAATTTATCAATCATAACGATCTAAAAGATCATCAGAAGGACAACTAATTTACTGATTAAGTGGTATATCGAGACTTGTGATTTTTTAGAACGCGTATTTTTACTTGGTCGCGTACGTATCGTGTTTGTTACACGCGATTTGTCACACGTAAAAATTAAGATATTATGTCGATCGATTTAAAAAATCGATTAATCATACATGTGAATTTTTTGTTTCTACGAACAGAGCAGTGCAAAGATCACGAAAAACTAATGTCTCCTTGTAAAGTGAAATACCTTCGAAATTGGTGTTCATTTTACCTATTTTTGCTAGATTATTCCTTAGTTCACAAATTCTTGCTATAAAAAGTGATTCACCAGATACATCCAAATAAAAATCATCTACAAAGTTTTACCTCAAGGGATTAATACATTACAAACATATAGAAGAAAATTAGGAAAAGCTGTTTCATAATATAGTATAGATAACAGTATTTCTTTTAATTAATAAAATTTTTTTTATAATTATTAGAACATATTTATTTAATCAGACATGAGTCAAAATATATACAAGATTTAAAATTTCTTATCTGTTTAGGCAAATGCTAATTGTTATTCTTAGCTAGTACTTCAAAATTTTTAGTACCTGACTGGCTATAGTGAATTTCATTAAGAAATCTGATTATAATGTTTATAACAAAGATTTGTCAGAATAACATAATATGCTACTAATTAATTATAATAAAGATCTTTATTATAAATAAATTGAAATTCACTATAAAAAATTATACAGTTGCATTTGTTTATTTGCATAATATATATTTGCATAATCTATTCATTTATATAAAGGAATTTCAGTCTCTTATTGGAATTTATTAGCTATTTGCATAATATATATATATATATATATATATCAAAGATAAACTCTAGGTCTGATCAATATATATTTGCATATGTATATATAAAAGAAGAAATCAATTAGATTAATCTAAAATTTATTATTATTATTATGATATAAAAAATTATAAATATTACTTTATTTTAGAAACTTGGAATATATCATTTATATAATATTTTTTATATTAGTTATTTTTTGATTATTAAATAGATTTTATAATATTATTAATTACTTAATTATAATATAATATTCTTTATTATATTATATAAGAGGATATAATAATAAAAAAATTTAGATTATCAAATTATATGATCAGTATTAATAATTATTTGATAATGTATATCTATATATTTTGTCTGTTACATAAAATTTTATCAATCTTGATAATATATAAATAGATAAATATAATTATATTATTATAATATATAATTATATGAATAAATAAATAAATAAATTTTATTAAACTTTTTAATATATTTAATTTTATAGCTTATATATATAAATAATTATATAAATAAATAAATTTTTGCTAAGTTTTTTAATATATCTGAAAATATATATTATTCATTAAATAATTATCTAGCTTATTAAATTAAAAATTATTATTTAATAAATCTAATTACTAGAATTCTTTAAGTAAATTATAAAATTATAAAATTATAAAATTTTTTAAATATATAACTATAAAAAATTTTTTTAAGTATTTTTTTCATAATTTTATTAATTTATTTATTAATTTTTATTAATTTATTTAATAATTTCTTTTATTAAAATTAATAATTCTTTTATAAAAAATATTTTTTAATAGTTAAAACTTTAATAATTTAATTTACTTTTATTTTATTTTATAATAAATTAATTTTTTAATATAATTTTTATTATATTTTATTATAATATTTAGATTAATAAATTATTCTTATTAATTAATATTTATTAATATATTTTTCTATTAAATTATTTTTCTTAAATAATATTTTTAACTTTAATATATAGTAATAATAAAAAAATAATAATTAAATAATATGATTTAATTTATATAATTTTTATTTAAAAAATCTTAAAAATGAACTATAGTTAATTTATAATATATATTTTAATTTTTAATATTTTATTTTATATTCTTTAGTATTTATAATTAATTCAAGATATTTTAATATTAATTATGCCAATTTTTTTTATTTCTTTTTTATTATTTTTATAAAAATCTCTTATAATATTATTTTTTTATAGATTATTAAGTTAATTCTTTTCTTGACTCTTTTTTTATAATTAATTACAAATTCTTAATTAAATTAAGATCTTATAAATATAATAACTAATCAAGTATATAAAAATATTAATTATTTATTAAATAATTATAAGTTTAATATAATATTTAAATTTATTATCTTATTAAAATATTTATTTATCATTAAGAATTTAATTTGCTTGTCTGAATAAATTTTGAATTAGTATAATTTATTATTTATAATTCTTACAAAAGTTTTAAATTCAATAATTCTCTTTATGCAAAATATTCTTTATATATATATCTTAAATAAATATTTCATGATCTTTTAAGTTAATATTAATTATTCAGCTTTATAATAAATCTAAATCATATTTAAAAAATAGATTTATTAAAGAAAATTATAGTATTTCATTATTTTTTTTGATATTTTTTCATTCAGATAAGCTAATGTTATTTTATTAATTTTATGAGAAAAGAAACTTTTTATGAAATATAAATCTTAAATTCAAGTTTTTATAAATTATTTGTGATGCTATATTTAAATTGGAATAAGTATTATTAAGAATCTTCATTATCTTCTTGCTTGTTACACTTTTTTTTTAGTTGCAATTTGTTCAAGATATTTCAATTGCCTAAGGCTAAGTTTTTTTGAATAATCTAAATATTGATCTTGCTTTAGATTATTTGTTTCAGCAAGCTTGACAGCTCTTCTATATAATATTTTGATAGAAAATCCAGTTATTCTTCAAAGTTTGATGACTTTTCTATATTTACATTCTCATAATAACTTGATAAAAAAATATCTTCTTGCAAGAAAACTCATGTATAATGAATAATAATGATAAAAATATTTTTTTTCCATCTTAGATTGCATGATAAATTTATTTCTAACTGGTTTTAGTATTAACAAAGATTCAGTGGCGTAATTTCTAAAAAAAAAGAATTGTTACTTTTTTCCACTATCACTATATTCAGAATATTATCCAATTTTCATACATATACAGTTAGATCTTTCTTGCATTTTTGATAACATGCATTTAAAGAACAAAAAGAACAATACATTCATGAATATTAACCATATATTTGGATCAGAGTTTGAGCTTATAATGGTTCGAACTGTTCGGTTCAGTTCGGTTCAGTTCAGAACCGAAAGTTTATTTTGTTATTGATAAATTTGAAAAATGATTCGATACTTTTTATTGTTGTCATGACTTATGCAAAAGATGGCGATCTACTGGGAGAGAAAAATTAATTTATCATGGATTATCAAATAGTCTAACAGCGAAAATTTTGTGCATCGCAACTTATCCTGGAAATATATTAATATTCCTAGTATGGTTGGGTTTGGACTTGCCATTCCAACAAAATATCGAAAGATCTAACCAAGAAAAATATCGGAGTACTTCCATATATGAGAAGTGCTAATGGAAAACCTTACATTAAAGCTGCAGATAATTATAGCCTTGGAATGGTTGTGTACGAGATTGTAAAAGGTGAGCAGCCATTTGGTGAGCGAAGTAATGATATACATCTCGTATTAGACATCTATAAAGGATGACCAACTGCTGAGAAACTTTTTGACTTTATTAGCAAAAAATGTTCAAAATAAAGAATTTATTTTGACCAGAACTAGAGAAAGAATTAGGACTAGTGCTGGAAAATTATTTATACTTGATTATTTGAAACATATTCCAATTGTCATTTGGACCAAGTAATAATCAAATATGTCCTTTTTTGCATTCTATAATGATAAACTTCTTGACATTATACTAAATGAAAGATATTATTCATTACATTTTTAGCAATAATATAAGAGTTAAGTATCTTTAATATAACGATAAACGTTGTTTTTAATAAACTCATACATGCATCTCAATCGTGAAAAAATTTTTATATCGTATGTACAAAAATAACAGAATAAATAACTAATTTTATATAAGGATTTCTTTTGTCTTAAATACTCATTAATAATTCTTGAAGGTTTGCATTAGTATAAAAAGTTAAACATTTTGAGATTTTAACATCTTTATGAATTATCATTAAGAACTCGAATTAATAAAGATTCAAAAATCGCAATATTCATTTCAATGCCTTCAGTATTTTGCATATAGTAAGACAATTCGCAAAAAGACATCGATGGTCTTTTCCCTTTCTGATTAGTTCGAGAATAATACATGCGTTGTAAACAACGATGATGATCAAACCTAAGAACATTATTCGGTACACAAGTACGAAGCAAATACACACACAGAGGGTGGAGAACCAGTTGAAATCAAAATTATATGTATAATATGTATGTGTATGATCGAATTCATGAGTTTCATACAATAACAATAACAATAACAATAATGGTACATGTTTCCCAAGAATATATTTAATTATTAAGGAGAACCATTCGAAAAGCAACGTTTTCAAACAATTAAGATGACAGATGGATTGAAAATTGAACTAGCTGATTATTTATTATTATTATCATTAATAATTTTTAAATTTTTCTTTTTCTTGCTAGAAGAAAAACTATTTGTACGAATAATATTAAGTTATGATATAATGATACTGATAGTATTATATAGTGTATACATTAGGATGTAGGATTAATGGAGAGTGCAGATTAAAGGGGTGTAAGTGTATGTGTATTTTATGTGTATACAAGAGTTCCTTCCCGCCCAAATAAAGATTTATAGGCTAAAATACAATGATAAAAAGTTACAATTTATAATAAATTAAGTTCCCTCTAATGATTTTAAAGTCTAGAAAAAGGTGCAGAATAAAGCGGCAACCGATAATAAACCAGTCACAAGAGTACCAAAACCAGAAAACACAAGATTATTTCCAGAATTCACATTTGGAGTCGATGCATTTGATGCTTGTTGCTTGTTGGGGCTACTCGCGGTAGAAGAAGCAGTACCAGTGGTTGTAGTGACGGTTGAGATTGTAGGTGTGCTTGAAGTTGTGCTTGAGGAAGAAGAAGTAGTAGTAGTAGTGGTGGAATTAGAAGATGCAGTGGTGGTGGTTGTCAATTTGGTTGTAGTTGAATTGGTGGAGTTTGTTGACGGTGTTACAGTGGAATTTGAAGTTCCACTTGTTCCATTTGTTGGTGTGGGAATTGTTCCTTGGGCACCATTGATTGAGAAATAATGCGAATAATTATAGTCATTATCGTTTGAACCAATTCCAACAGTGTATGCATCACTATAAAAAAATATTACAATTTAGTAATGATTTTAACTACTACTACTAAGTTTGTCATCAGTTAATAATATACTTACGAAGTTACAAGATCACATGGTACCGTATACTGAACTGAACCTTGAGAAACCGGGACGCCTTGAGCAATATCCTTGACGGGTGTTAAGGAATTTGCGTCACCGACTTTCAACACCAAATTAACCGTCTGTGGACCAGGTGTGCCATCATCAATCCAAGTAATGGGGACTTTTGAGCCACATTTCCACACGGTTCCCGCAACTGGATTATTAATTCTTGCTACTGCTTGCACGCTTGCGGCGTTGAATAAGACAGCCGAGAAAGCGAAAAGTAAAGTGACAGTCGATTTTAAAGTCATGTTTTTATTTATTGCGAATAAGTAAGATAATGTGATATGTATGTGTATTCTATGTGTGTGTGCGTATTTTCAGGTAAGGAAGGAAGAAGGGCAGGAAGGGAAAAGAAGGAAGGAAGGAAGGAAGAAAAAAATAGAGAGGAAGTAGTATATTAGCTAAAACAGGATGTGGGAAAGCTCGATATTTATAAAGAAAAAAAAAAAGGAACACACAAAGAATTTATCTAGATTATGCGTTTTTACAAAGAAAATTAACTGGTCAACAGATTTTCAATTTTTAATTGCGAAAAAACAAACGCAATTATTAGTGTATTTATAAAGGGAAGGAAGTTTGGTATCTACATATCTACATATATTATATGTTGTGTAATTAGAAAACTCCTCCCGAGTTTCTTTTTGCGATATTTGGGCTTGTGAGTGATACTAAACATTCATTTCTTATTAAGAGACGATTCATGTATTACGCATATGTGTATAATTATCGCTATGGTTTACGGCCGTCTATCGTAGCCATCCGTAAACGTGTTTAATATTTTTAATGCATAAATAAATTGTATGAATTTGATAACTACTTCGGGAAACGTAAATATTTTTCACAATGTAATAAGAAACGTGGCACAAAAATTCTCCGTTATGAATCTCTGCCAGTATGCATGCATATTAATCAAACTATGAGAGATCTGGCCAAATGCGTATGATAAATAGCAATTCAAGAATGCATGCATATTAACTAAACTGGCCAAATGTGTACAATAAAATAGCAATTAAAACAAATGAATCCCAGATGGATTCTTTTAAATTTGGCCAATGAGCTCGTGCAGTTGAAGAAAAAGATGGATGACACTAGTGGTATAAATTGAATAAAACAAGTTCGATAATCTATTCACGCGTTCCTAGTTTAATCAAGAGTTCGTGACTTATTTTGCGGATTTATCCCATGCTTTCTTATACTAAAATAGATAATCACGAGATAAAGGTGGAATTCATATGTTCACACGATGACATCAGGGTCACAAAGATTTTTTATTATAATAAATACATTATGATTATGTATTATTCGGATATATCATGGTTAATCATCAATTTTGAAATAGAAATAAAATTAGAAAATTCAACGAGGGCTTGCCGATGACCGACGGGAAGTAGACGATGACGACGACGATGATGATCTTCTTGGTGAATATTTTCTTGGAGACCGATCACGACCGTGTCCTCTATCTCGTCGATCTCGATCACGTTCTCGGTTTTCCCGATCTCGGTTCCTATCATAATCTCTATCTCTATCGCGTTCTCGGTCGCGATCGTTGTCTCTTGACGGTGAACGATCACGATCACGATCCGATCTGTAAGGAGAACGTGATCGCCCTCTTTTTTTACAAAGAATTTTTTAACTTGAGGAACAAGCAAGCTTAACGAATTTTATAATTTGATACCTCATGCATTCTTTTGCTCGATGTCCCGGCTGACCGCAAGTGCTAATTAATAAATAAGTATTATCGAAGAAATCTAAATTAGGGAATGGTTTTTAATTGAATGATTGTTCAATCTTTAACGGAAAAAAAATAAGGATCTTGCTTACAAACATCGATTTTCTTCATATCTATGTGTGATGTATAGAGTTAATTGACAAGCACACAAAATCAAATACGCGTTGCAATAAAATTATTGAAATAGGCAAGACTAAGATAAATCTTACCTGCGCGAGCGTTCACCACTTATTCAAATAAAAAAAAGTTAATTATCAAATAATACCGGTGCAGAATCAAAATATCTTTTGAAAAATTTTTATATCAAGTTACCTTCCCGCAGGTGTCGGACTATACAAATTCAGTAGTTCAACCAAACGAATAGATAAAATAAACAAGATAATAAATTGTTTTTCTTTTTATATTTAAGAAATCTCAAGTCAGACAAGACTATAGCATCTATACTAACCAATCTCTCGCCCAATGCCCTAATTTTCGAACGCAAAGTAAAAATCCAAATAATTACTAAAAATCTGACAAAATAATAATAATAATAATAATAGCATGAAAAATCACAAAAAAATTTCTTACCAACTTGACCACAGTTAAAACATCTTTCAGGTGGCCTACTATCATATCGACTCCCTCCCCTGCCACTACCATAATTCGAATTTCGATTGTCTCGGGACGATCCGCGCCAGGTGCTTCCTGCTCCAAAATACAAAATAAAAGCACCAGAAATATCAAAGAAAAGCTCGAAATAGAAAAATCCACTGCAAGATCTCGAAAATAGTCAGTTGTCTTACCTTTGGCAAACTCTACCAAAACTCGTTCATCATTACCTTGAATACGTACGCCGTCCAATTCCCTGAATTGATATTGTCATTAACAAACAAGGCTCAGCAGCGACGCACACCTCCGGCGAGCATTAGTAGCAGAAAGATGTGTGTAAATACGACGCCTATTCTTTTTTTCTCCTTTGTTTTCTTCAGTATCACCAGAAACGAGGTAATTTTTACTCCACCAAAAAAATCAAACAGAATTTTCTCGTATTATTTTCTTCTGGGATAATATCATCATTGCATGCATCACCCATTTTCTTGAATATTCACACCACCGTAATTTCTATTTCTCTCCAATTTCGAATTCAACATCACCATAAAAAGACAGACAACAACCACTAAATATTCCAAATTCTCGCGTGGTGGGCGTCGCGTTTCTTTATCGGTCTCATCCCACTTCTTTTAAAGACTGAGTGTTCACCTATCGCTCCTCTCACCTCAGGGCGTCTTGAGCATCTCTTGGATCCTCATATTGTACAAAGCAGAAGCCAATCTAGTATTTGGAAAAGCAAATATATTCATACGAGGAACGTAGAATGCTCTGAAATATCAGAAATCGTGAAAAGGAAACAAAAAGCACAGTTTATTTTAAATAAAAACGCGATTAAGAAGGATTTATTACCTTCATCTTGTTAATTTTTTATGTTGAAGAGTATACAATAAGTTTAGGTGGATACATTAATCAATCATACGGTCGACAGTAATTGTTTAAACTTACGTCAACCTCTCGAATTCGTCCATATTTTCCAAAAGCGTCATCTATATCACGTTCTGATACATTTCTTGAAAGTCGACCTATTGAAGCATTTCAAGCATTCAACGCAACTTTATCTTTCTTTGCCAAGAAAAAAGATTTCACGCGCCAATACATTCAGTAAAGGGGAGTGACTAACCAACATATAGCCTCGCAGCCCATTTATCACCACCGCCCCCTCCACTCCCCCAGCTGCCACGTTTGTCTTCTCGCCGATCCTCATGATAAGACATTATTTTATTATATACTCTTCTCACAAGAGAAACGAGAGATTTATTATAGTAACCGAATTTTTAATTTGAACAATTCAGTCACATGTTCGTGGTAATAATGAGCCATGGTCATAATCATGCTTTATTTGTCGATGTTCGATAAAATGTCTTGGACACAAACCACTTTTCGCTTAGCAAGTAAACCACGTGGGTGTCATTTAATTACGAATGAGGTCGAGAAAAACGTCCCCGAACTGAGAAAATATCGTGTTGGACTGGCTAACGTGTTTAGTAAGTATCTTGCATCCTTTTTTTGGAGATCCCGGGACTTATAAAAGATGCGTCAAGATTCGAGCATTACAAAAGTATATTGCTGCAATCTGTTGATATCATTTATTGAAAATTTATTTATCAACATCACAACGAATCTATGTCAAATTATATTATATAATCGTGCCTTTCTCAGTACAGCATACATCCGCTTCATTATGTTTGAATGAAAATGCCGATCCGGATGTACGTGAAGACATGGAAATGGGATTAAGTAGATTAGTTCCTGAAAATTGGCCATACATACATTCTGCTGAAGGACCTGATGATATGGTATTGTATCTATTTGCTACATCTAAAAAGGCGCTTCTCTTCTATTGTATAAAAAGATATCAACAACAAAATCTTGATTGAATGGTATGGTAATATTTATACTGTTTTACTTCGTAAGCCTGGTCATTTGAAAAATGCAATAATCGGCGCATCGTTGAATATCCCAATTACTGATGGGCGATTGAATTTGGGTACTTGGCAAGGGTATGTATACATACACTTATTATAAAGCGATGAGATTTCAAAAGATTGGAGGTACAGTGCATCGAAGTCATTATTATCGAATCGGTCTTTGTTATTGATTTGACTGATAGCGAGAATTAAATGCGGTAGATGCAACTTTTTCGATGCAATAATAAGCTCTTCAATTTCGTTTCCTTAAAGACATAAAATCTTCCCTATTTCTCACGAATTATTTTATCAATTTATAAATATCCATTTTAAGCATATACTTATTAGAGCATAGAACGTATGCGTCAGGAAGAAAGATTGTGGTGACATTACAAGGCGAAAAAAAGACGAATTAGAAATTGTAGCTAAGCAAATTATAGAGAGTAGAATGTGAATTAATTTATCCATTTTTTCCCAAGGTTCTTTCGTTTGTATCTCAAAGATTACATTACATAATGAAATCAACACATCAACTCATGCGACACTTATAAAATCTGCATGCATGTTCAATGAGAATCTGATAAAAAATTTATAAGCTTATGTTTACATTCAAAGCTCTATAACGATGGATCAAAAAAAATCGTTATATTGAGCGCTAAATATAAAATCGTTATAATCAAATGCTTTTTGTTATAGTCGGAAATTTTTCAAAGTTCGCAATAACCAAATCTTGTTATATAGGGCTTTGACTATCTAGTCAATTTTTAGTAAATTTTTATAAAGATGCAATTATGATGGGGTTTATAAGTTTGGAGATGTGATTCTTCCAATATAGAGCTGATGCGGATTGCTAGAATGCTTCGTTGGTGTAGATAAACTCTGAAAGCTCGGGGTACTAGCGATTAAAGGGAAAAGATCCAATGAAAGTAGCTCTTCGCCGCGAGACACTGGCGATTTAACAAAAAAAAGGGTCTTTGATTAGGTATAAGTTCCTCCGTCCGAGTTGGAATAATTTCACAAAAAATGACAGTTCGATCAACATTATCACTACATGCAAAGCTCGGAAACCGTCAGTTTTCTTATCCCCAAAGAAAATTGAATTGTCGTAACTCCGCTTTGATGAATTAATTCAGAGAAATAATGACAAGAATGAAAGAAAAAAAGGTCAATGTGTAAGGAGAAAGGCAACATAATATTCCGTCAGTTTGACTTTAATATACCCAGTTCAAATTCTTTGCAAGAAAGTTCATCTTCACGTTTAATTAGCAAATTGTCCTTTTTGCGGAGCTCTGTAAGGTTTGTGTAAACGATGCGAGAATTGAGCTGGTAATCTGGAGGTTTGTTGGTCTTTTCATATTATTAAGTCGTACGGGAAATTGAAGAAAATGCGCGAAAAATGAAGAGGAAATTATTGAATTAAGAACATGCAATTAATAAGGTTACTATACCATCAAATATGAATACGTGCTGAAGATGTATGCGTAATATGTATTTATATACATTGTATCCTATTTTGGAAGTTTAATTTACACATCCTTTTGTTCTGTGTTCACGCATCTTCAATGGAACAAATTCAAAAATATGGAGGAAACTATTTCGATAATAACCTGGAACTAATAAAAAGGTCACTGGGACGTCCTGAGCTACATATAACCATTAATGTATTTCAGCAAGTGAAAAGTTAGTATATGACGTAAAAAAAAAAAGGATCATCATCTGAACCTTTCTTTCCCGTTGCTGTATGTAATCCCGATTTGTCTCGTATGAAAATAAAAACCAGCATGCATCGACATAATTAATGAGTTTTCGGGACCAGACTCAAAGTGCTCTCTGGAATTCAAAGATGACACAATGAGAATGAAATATAAAACCACTGACCAGATGTTCATCCTTCAAGGGTATTAAGAAAGAGAATGCGCGTTCACGATATTTCGCTTTATTTAATATCTTTGATGAATCTTATTTTGCAGAACTTTTGAATTATCAAATATGTCACTTTTCGATCCTATTATAAAAAGTGATAACAACAATGTAATTCAGGTTGAAATCCTCACGACAAATTTAATTGATATGGTCAAAAAAATATATAATGCAACTTACGAGAGCCAGGATCCTATTGAATTGGAAATTGCTTGGAGAAATTTGAAATCCGTATTTATCGTTCAAATGTTGATAGAAGTAATTGTGATCTTTCTTAACTCATTGATGATCTCTCTGACTACTATACCACTAACCAATATTAATGATTATCATTCACAACTTGCTTAACATTTAGAGAACACGCACGACTTACGAATTTCCTATTGAACTGGTGACCGATCAAATCAAATTTAGTGAAGCAAATTATAAACCACACGTAAGAATTTATCAATCACAATCATTCAAAAAATTGGTTTCAAGTTTATCTTGATAGTTCGTATAGGTTGTCGTAAAGTTACCTGATCAAAAAGGATTACGCAAAAAAGCAGCAATTTTTTCCCGTATCTCTAAAACTGTTGACATCAAGGCCAACCGACAAGGAAAATTACAAATCAATGGTCTTTCCCCCTATTCTAGCTTTCGATGCAATTGGGACAAACTGCAATATACGAGCCTCCCGATGGTTTTCGATGTGAATGCACCAACTGCTCCCGATGAAATAAGAAGCGTGAGAGTATTGGCAGCGACTTTAGATAAGGTGGTGAATGGGTCGGACTTCGATGTTCATACGGTTGCTGGTAAATTTATTCTTCTTCATTAATATTATATATCATTCATTCATTCATTCATTCATTTATTTACTCAATTTGCATTGTTTTATTATCAAAGGTATTTGGGAGAATTTAGCATTGAAACTTCAAATTTATCTCGATAAGGAATTTAGAGCGAAAGTAGCAGAAATCTTTATCAGACAGTTCAACGATGACTAAGTTCTAAATGCGTGTCTAATATCGTTTATTACTATTCCAAGTAACGATAATATAACATTTGCTTGTTATACTGAAATTTGTTAGTTTCTAATTCAAATTAATATTATCATTATTATTAACAGTTCACAAAATTGGGTGCCATTTCATTATCCAAATACAATTATATTTATTAATAATGATGATAAACACGTATTTACAAAAATATGATATTATTGTATTGATCCAACCGTTACTCTGAATCATCGTCATCGTCATCCGACATATTCTTTGATTTTTGCTTTTTCCGCGAAAACGCTCTTCTTTTACTATTTCTTCCTGTAATAGATGTTGGAGGATACACCGCATTTCCCGTCACTGCACTTTGACATATCTTATCAGACAATTCACGCGGTAGTAAATTCTCTGCTAGCGAATTTAACGAAGCAGTATTTGATATGACGCGTTGTCTATCGAAATAAATCATAAATGTATGAGTTGTAATCATAAATGAAAAGAAATAAATATAATAAATACCTTTTCATTAGAGTAACAACATCACTTTCAATTATCATGTCTCGTCCGTCATCCTCTGAAATGTTGGAAAGACTCATAGCGGCTTGTTCAAAGAATCTATGGGTTCTTTAGATGACCGAAAAAAATACATTAAAATATGCGACTCAGAATAGTTTTTCTGCAAATAAATTGTAGATTGGATGGATAATTAATATTATAGGTACCCTTCAAACACCGCCTCCATTGCATCATTGGAAACTTTGGTTTTCGCGAACATGGTGAATATTTGCTTAACCAGAACCTTTGGAAGATTGGGCACTGGAATACCAGCAGCGGAAAATCTAGGAAATTTGCGAAAAGATGAGCTAAATAAAGTCAATATTGTGGTGCTTTGCGTATATAAATCACTAACCTTTTATTCTTTTTCGATGACTTTGATGATTTTGATTTTGGCAAAGGTTTATTCCTATAAATTGTATATATGACATTTCTTTCAAAGTTTTCTAATCCTAAATAAGAGATCACCCTACCTATTATTAACCTCCAAATCGGAAGGATAACCATCTTCCACATTGTTAGTTTCGTAATTGTCAGCAAAATCATTTAATTCCCTATTCTGTGCACCAGAATTGTCCAGTTTTGATAGATTTTCGTCATTTTCATTATCACTGGATGATTCCAAGCCCGGAGAATCGTCATCTTCCACATTGTCAACATCAGAATCATCATGTTCTGACAGATTTTCATTATTTTCACTATCGCTGGATGATTCCAAATCAAGAGGATCTTCATCTTTCACATTGTTATTTTCGATGTTGTCGCTGTTCTGTGCATCAGAATTGTCGTGATTTGACAAACTTTCATCATTTTCATTATCGCTGGATGACACCAAATTGAGAGGATCATTATCCTCCGCATTGTCATTTTCAATGCTGTCAGCAAAATCATTCATTCCACTGTTCTGTGCATCAAAATTATCAAGATTTGACAGACTTTCATCATTTTCATCATCGCCGGATGATTCCAAATTGGAAGGGTCCTCATTTTCCACATCGTTATTTTCAATGTTGTCAGCATAAGCATTTATTTCACTATTCTGTGCATCAGGATTATCATGTTCTGATTGATTTTCATCATTTTCACTATCGCTGGATGACTGCTCGCGAACTTTATTGAACAATTCGTTTAATTGGCCTGTCGAAGAACAATCACTGACTCTCCAGAATCTATTCATTTCTTCATCGATTTGATTTGAAGTACTGATGATGAGTGATGGTGAATTCAATTGTTCTTCATTAGGTTGTATTGATATTGGTACTGGTACTGGTTCTGGCTCTGGCTCTGGTAATGTGGTTGGTGTTATTTCTTTATGATTCGGAACTTCATCGGAAGTCTTTTCATAATTCGTAAGTAATTCCTCAATTACGGGCATTCGATGTGCATCAACGAACCCAGGTACTTTTTAAATTACAAATTGCAAATCATGAGTTTACATGTTACAGGTGGATATAGCTTAAAAGTTTTGAACCCTACCCCGGGTTAATTGTTTAAGGAACCCGTGTGGTGTTGGCATTCCTTTTTTACTCAGTCCCGACTTTGTTTCCGGTATTTTACTTTGTGGCTTCTTTGATATAGTCGCCAAAAGCCGACTGGGTGTATCTGCGTTTGAGCGTTGTGGCGTTTTGTTTTTTGATCCTGGTGTCCTCGGCTTTGTTATTGTTGTTCTTTTATTCGAAGGTGTGCTTTGCCGTAATGAATACTGGGGTGTTTGATGTTCGATAACATTGCTGAATCTTCGAAGCTGTCACCCGACCGTAATAGGGCAAGAAATAATAAAAAACGCCTTCTGAAAAGAAATATAATAAACAAAAGCAAGATTTATTTACCGCTCGAGGAGTTTCTTGCGTAGAAATGGTTGCAGCAGAAGGTCTCAGTCCTTTTTGACTATGCTCTTCTGTAGTTGATTCAATAATTGGCGATGATAATTTATCTAAGATCACTGAGACATTTTCAGGTTCTTCATTTATTATTACACTTGATTCTTGAGCAGTAATAACAATAGGTGGACTCGGCCTAAAACTGGTATTTGAAAGAGCGCGTTCTACTTGTTCCGCTGTCGGGTTCACTGTCTTACGTTTTTTGCCGCTATTGGGTACGGGACGTCTGAATCCAGTTGACAACCTACGTTGAAGACGCGTTCTTGGTGTTTTAGGGTTATCTGAGTCTGCCATTCTGTGTTGTGTGAGATTAGTTGGGAATGGATTAGAATCTTATTGGTCAGGAAAATCAAAGCTATCATTTTTTTTGAATCCCATCTTCGCACGCATTCACACAAGACAATGGCGCGTCAATTGTTCGCAGAATTAAGAATTTTGAAGAAATATTTGCTTAATGGCATCTCTATATGTCCCTCTAACAAATTATTTGCAATAGAACGTCGTAATACATTTAGCAAGTGTATGAGGACAATTTCTTGTCGTTTCCACAATTCACGGGCTTCACAAAATATTTTCTTGAATTTTGAAAATTCTCGAGTCATAATATTTAAACGTTGGATCCATTCCAGTAAATCTAGTAAATCTTTTACAGGTCAAGAACCTAAAGCAGCATCGGCAGCTACTATTGCCAATGTCATTTCAACCTTTCCCCCTCTTGAAAAACCAAAAGAGAAAGACACAGAGACACTTGTCAATCAACATGAGCCATTGCAAGATTCTTCTATTGTAAACTATAAACCTTTACCAGAATCCACATTATCACATATACTCAAAAGTTACAAAGAACTATCAAAAGCAAAACTTGCCGCCCTTGTGATATTGACGACAATGGGTGGTTACGCGTTATCACCTGGGTCAACTAGTCTAATGTGTTTACTAGGCACAAGTGTCGGAACAGGATTATGCGTGGCTTCTGCAAACGCGATTAATCAATGGATTGAATTTCCGTATGACGCTCAAATGTCGCGTACACGAAATCGAGTTCTAGTACGTAGAGCATTAACACCATTTCACGCGTTCGCATTTGGCACAATCTCCGGAATATCAGGTCTTATTGTGTTATCAATGATGGCGAATTCATTAACAGCTTTGATGGGCGTTACAAATATTCTACTCTACACTTGTATATATACTCCGATGAAAAGAGCCTCAATATTGAATACATGGGTTGGTTCGATTGTTGGCGCGATCCCGCCGATGATGGGTTGGGTTGCTAGCACTAATAATCTTGACCCCGGATGCTGGTTACTCGGCGGAATATTATACGCATGGCAGTTTCCGCATTTCAACTCGCTGGCGTGGAATTTACGCGCCGATTATTCGAAAGCCGGATATCGAATGATGGCAGTCACCAACCCCGCGCTGAACGCACGAGTAGCCCTACGGTATAGTTTATTGTTATTCCCGTGGAGTTACATGATACCATATATGGGAATGACAAGTTGGTGGTTCGCGTTTGATTCAACATTGGTGAATTCTGTTTTGCTATGGGGCTCTTACAAGTTTTGGCGAAATTCGAATGATAAAACTGCGCGAGATTGTTTCTTTGCGAGTTTGATTCATTTACCTGTCATTTTTGCACTTATGATGTTGCATAAAAGGTATCAGAGTGGCGAAAATCTTGATGTTCCAGATAAATAATATATATGATATATGCAATAATAGTTATGTTTGCAAAAATAATGTATAATTGAATTAGTATATAAAAGAATGACGCGTTATGCACATTATGATGCAGTCAACGATCAAATATTACGCAACCACCCATAAATAAAAATTATCAAAAATTTGCTGCTTTTACTCTGCAAAATGCCTTCTGTATCGAGTTTGAAACAGGCCGAAGAATTTTTAGAAATTGCCCCAGATAAGGCCGAAGAAATATATAAAAGCATCCTAGCAAAGAATCCTGGTAAGTCCAATTAGTTGTTGACCACCGCATGCAAGTTAATTGTCTTGTCACTTTGCAGAATTATTAACATGCTTTTTTTCTTTCAGAGAATGATGCGGTGATTCTGGAACAAGAACAAGCGTTGGTCAAATTAGGAGAGCTTTACCGAGACCACAGGTTTGTAAATCTTTTCTAATGCGTGCAAATGAAAAAAAATCTGACATAAGAATCTACCGAACAAACTTTTGGCTTCTAGGAAGCCAAATGAGTTATCTGAATTGATCCGTTCTTCGCGTTCCTTCATGGCTTCTATTGCAAGGGCCAAAACTGCTAAAATTGGTATTTTTTTGCCCAAGATTTTCTTTATTATAATTGAATGATGCCTATTTATTTATGTGAATTTAATGAATTATTAAACAGTTAAACACTTGATTGATCTGTTCTCGGAAATACCGGAAGGACTATCTCTCCAGATAGAAGTATGTAAAGAAACAATTCAATGGAGCGTTGAACAAAAACGCAATTTTTTAAAACAATCATTGGAGACGCGTTTAGTAGCCTTGTATGTATTTAAATACTTTGTAGATATACTTTTCATTTTCGATTAACGGAGTTTTTCAAAATTTACAGGTATCTCGAAAACAAAATGTATCACGATGCGCTTACATTAATCAATTCTTTATTGAAAGAGTTAAAACGTCTCGATGATAAAATGGTGTTGGTGGAAGTGCAGCTGCTGGAGAGTCGAGTATGCCATGCTTTAAGAAACTTACCAAAGTCCAGGGTAGGAAGGATTTTACCGAAGTTGAATTTTTTCGAGTAATTAAATAATGACCAAATTTTTCCCTTCATACTTAAGGCAGCATTGACATCGGCCAGAACATCCGCAAATGCTATTTATTGTCCGCCACTTCTTCAGGCTGCCCTTGATATGCAATCTGGAATCTTACATGCTGAGGATAAGGACTATAAAACAGCGTAAGTTAATAAAGAATAATCTTCAAGCCATCATAAGATATACTAATTTTTTGCTTATAGATACTCGTATTTTTATGAAACACTTGAGGGCTATTCATCACAAGATGATCCACGTGCAATATCAGCTTTAAAATATATGCTGCTTTGTAAGATTATGTTGAATCTGGTAATGACGAAATTTGCATTTTTTCATCATTTTGAATAATCCATCGCTTATCTTTTTTATTTGATTAAATCACATTTGCTTCGATCATCGTTAAAGTCAGAAGATGTACACGCCATCATTAATGGCAAAATCGCACTCCGATATGCTGGACGTGAGGTTGAAGCCATGAAAGCTGTGGCTAATGCACATCAGAATCGTTCTTTAATTGAATTTGAAGCCGCATTGGCCACATATGCAGATGGTTAGTTGTTATCATTTATCTTCTTTCCCATCGGAAAGTTTGTAGAATTTTACGTTTTGATTTCTAGAACTCTCAAACGATCCAATTATTCGATCTCATCTCGCGGCTTTATACGATACATTGCTTGAACAAAACCTGGTGCGCATTATTGAACCATTCTCGCGTGTTGAAATTTCACACGTGGCCGCGATGGTAAAACTACCAAACCCTCAAGTTGAGACCAAATTATCGCAAATGATATTGGATAAAGTTTTTCATGGAATCTTGGATCAAGGGGCGGGATGCCTGATCGTTTTTGATGAGCCGCCGCAAGATGTATGTATGCATGCATTCTAAAAAAAATTCATAATACATACATAATATAAAAACATTCGTCTATTTTGTATGCAGAAAACATATGAAGGCGCCTTGGAAACCCTTAAGCAGATGGGAAATGTCGTAGAATCACTATATGAAAAGGTAAAATCACATATGTTGTACCCGAACACGGGATCTGTGTCCGCGTACAGCATACATTATTCCTCGTAAAAAGAAGAATATATATCTCAGCTAGGACGTTAAAAAATTTGACGATGAAGAACCTTTTTTCTGACAATTAATCTCTTTATAAAACTTTTTATTAGGCTGCCAAACTCTCTTAATAGTACAATTGCGTATGAACGGGTCCGATTCTGAAAAAGGCAAAGCTCCTTCTCTTTTTGTCAATTAATTATTTGATTCTAAATGCATTATTCATGTTCCACATATATAATTTGCGAATTTTGATGTATTAGCGCAACCTAATTTGGCATGCTAAGCTCACATACTTCTGCATAACTATTTATTGCAAGGTGGTTTTTTTTTTGCCATCTCATTATCTTGTGGTGTATTGTTTGTTGTTACACTTTCATGTTTTACTATTACCATTAATTTCCAACCGACCCCGTTCTTGTATGCTGTATTTGTATGAATTATTTGTCGGTTTGATATATTATGATGTCGAAGCTGATTACTTACTTTATATTAGGATTTATCGTTATTTTCTAAGATCCCGAAAACCGAAAATAAACAACATTTTGTCAGCACACGACAAATGGTTATCCGAGCTTGGTCTTTTAAAAGAAGCGAAATTAAATTTTTCATTAAAATAATAGAAAATAACCTTGTACAAAAATATTAATAATAAACAACAAAAACGAATTTCAAACGTATCATTAATTAATAGAAGGTTCTATCTGTCTGGTTTATATTGCCTTCTCTACTACTATTACTACTATTTCTTTATCTTTTATTGCATTGCAGTTCTCTCTAAGCCGACTGCCCCGACTATTCCTCATTCTGTAACCTACTTACACAAAAACTCAGCAAAGATACATTTGTGTATCAAGTTAAAATAATAAATTCTCCCTCTGTCACCTCACAATAAAGAACGGTATAATACTATATATCATAATATCACACTCATGTTAGTTGCAGAATGAGGATTATACAACCATACTTGCTAATATCACTATATTGTGCGGGAATATGGCGTGTCAGTACGGCAAGTGCTACTTTACCCGAGGTCAAGTTTGAGCGCGTAAGTCAAGTGGGTATTGCAGGACAATATAGTGGAATTTCGCTGGCGAGCCAGCGGAGTATAAATCAGACTATCGACGTAAACAGTGCATCACTCTTTAGACTCATTTCCACATATAATGGAAGTGGTGGTGACTTCCAACTCGTCGGGTCTACTTCCAAAGGCGGCACCATAACTGCATTATGTCAATTACCTAGGAACAATAATAGCAAACAATATGATATATATGTTGGTGGAAATTTCACGAGCATGGCGTCAAAATCAATCAATAATATTGCACGATACGATCCAGACCAACAAACCTTTTCGTCTTTGTTAGACGGACTGGACGGACCTGTTTCTTCACTATATTGTGACTCGAATACGGGTAGTGTTTATGTTGGTGGCTCTTTTACGGCACCTGTGAACGCGGCAAGTCACAATATTAATGTCACGTCATTTGGTGGGTCAATAGCCGTATGGAAAGATAGTACATGGCAGGCGTTACCGTTCAAGGGATTCAATGGACCGGTGTTGACGATTGCATATAATCTTGACAATAATACATTTTATTTTGGTGGCGTGTTTGATGCCACCGCTAATGGTGATTATGGCGCGACATCTAGTTTGCAACCGATCAATTTGCAGAAGGCTTTAGTAAGTGAATTTTCTTCCCCCCTTTCTTCAATTCCTAGTTATTCCTTGACTTTGCGAATTTTTTATTGCAAGGCTGTTTTTGTTCATATTATTTTTGGGCATCAATGTAAGTTTTGCGCCAAAAATTATGGATTGTGTGCGGGGAAAATTATTGAGAAAAGATTCGATTAGTTTATCGTATTCGGGATGTTCTCAATTTATTATACTATTTATTGGATATTTTCAAGGAAATACAATTTAAATGACATATCAATTTATATTCTTTCAAATAAACAGATAACTTCTGGAAATAGCGGAATTATGCAAGGATTTAATGACCCAACAGTACTAATATGTAGTGGCAATGCAGATGCACAAAATAATACATGGTTAATGAATGATAATATTCCCGGGTTTTGGCGTGCTGAATTCAATCAAATAACAATTACACCAACATCAATCGGCATAAAAAATACGGCATTCGAAGGGCGAGGCACGAAAACATTCAGGTTTATAAATTATATACACGTGTTATAATATTTTATCGCTTCAAAAATGTTTGCTTAAAAATAATGTTTTTTTTTTATCCTAAGACTTTTATCAGTACCGGATAATGCGGTTTTAAATCTTTCGTATGTTGATCCGTCTACCAACGCCGCAAATTATTGTACTGATGCTTGTCCATTGACACATGATTCGAACCAATATCAAATGTTTAATATTGTGGATCCACATCCACTAAATGGAATACAAATTGATATTCGTGAATGGTATGGTAATGGTGGTGGGCTTCATGGAATCCAATTATATCAGAGTGGTATGTTTAAATTCATGTTATATCTTTATTGTCCCATGTTTCGATATCGTATTTATGCTTCGATATATTATTAGGTTATAATAAATAACAATTTTTAATTATTTTATTTTTAGAGGTGGTTGTAAAAGCAGCGGGCGATTCCGGTTTCCCTAAATGTTCTAATACTCCATTTTCACCTACGGTGACTCCTGTAGGACCATGGACCTCTCAAGTATTAAATGGAGTATGGGAAACTGTTCTAGTGGCATCAATTCCAACATCGCAACTCTCAAATTCTAATGTATCGGTCACGCTTCAACCTTACGTTCCACAAACAGGCTTCTATGATGTGACTTATACCTCACAAAGTTGTCTCCCAATCGGATGTGACAAAACTATTCCAATCAAAGTGACACTTAATTATGCACCTGGATTATCAATTTCTCAAATAATACCACAGGATCAAACACAAACCAATATTTCTACAATCTATTCGGGAACAGTTGTCGCGACAACCTCATCTTTTGCGCCCTCCGTTGTCGTCTCAATTCCACAGTCGGTGACTCCACCTTCAGGTGGTGTGGCTGTTATCGCGGTAGATTTAGTTAAATTTGTGAAAAGGAATAGTAGTACCCCGTTAAGTGGGTTATTCCAATATAATCCGAGTACAAATTCTGCGCCTACTTGGGGTGGTTTTAATAGTATGTATATTTATGATTAGTGTTTGAATTCTTAATTCTAATTAATCATTGTCTTATTAGTCATATTCAAACACTCATAAAATATTTAGATGTTTTATCCCAAAGAGCAAATATCACCACAATTGCTGTGTATCAAAAATCATTGATCGTGATTGGTGGTAGTTTCACAACCACGTCATACTCAAATATTGTATTCTATGATGGTTCTAATTTTATTTCTCTTGCAAATAATGGACTTAATGGACCAGTGAATACAATCACAATAATCAATGACAATTTATTAATTGGAGGCGCATTCAATGGAACAGCAAGTCAAAGTGACGTGACGAATTTAAATAACCTGGCAAAATATGACATTAAAAATAAAAGATGGTTACCAATTGGAGTAGGTGTTAATGGACAAGTCCAAACGCTATCAAGAGTCAATACTTCAAGCTCAAAAGTTTTTGTATCTGGTCAATTCAATACTGTAATAAATCCAAAGGAGGGAAATCTCACGTACGGTCTTCCTCTCTGGGATGACACGTTGCAAGATTGGTCTTCTGCTGGATATGTTGAGGGCACGATCAGCTCTATATTGCCAAATGTTTACCCTGGTGGCACGAATTCTACTACTTACTTTGGTGGTAATATATTAGACGTACAATCATTGGCAGCATTAGGCGGTGGATTGGTCACGGCTAATCCGCTTAAACTTTCCGCTTTACCTATTTCTCCTCAAAGCAATGGCACTATACCCCAGTTTAGTCTTAACACGGGCGTGTTTTGGAATGATTCGGTAATAATTGTTGGCGGTGATTTCGAAATGGCTGAAAATATTCAGAACGTTGCAATCGAACAACAAAATGGCTCATGGACGGGTCTTGGATCTAATTTGACGATAAATGGAACAGTTAATAATTTGTATATAGATAATAATATTCTGTATATCGGTGGCAAATTCGTTATTACTACTGATGATAAGACTATGTATGGATTTGCATTATATGATTTGAACAAAAAACAACTTGTCGAGATTCAACCACCACAATTGACTGGTAAATAATTTATTTTTTATTTTATTCATTAAATAGCACAAATGAATTCAATTTTATGTTCCCTATAGAAAATGGAAACGGAAATGAGGTCAGCGTTAAAGTGACCCGTTCAAGATCACAGACGATTCTAGTCGCTGGAACTTTTGATAAGGCTGGCTCATTGGACTGTCAAGCTATTTGCGAGTGGGATCTTACACTTAAACAATGGAATAACGTTTGCATTAACTCCGAATTATCTGGAAACGTTTATTGGATGGATTTAGATGAGGTGTTTATTATTGTTGGTCTATTACTTTACCCAAAAGAGCTTCTTTTGCTAAATCATTTTTCATATAGCAACAAGAAATCCTCGTTATTGGTGGTGATTTGAAGCTCAACGGAACTAAAAGTTATCTTCTGAAATATGAATTCGGAACCAACATCTGGCAGCCACTCGGCACAAATAATTCGGGACAAAATCTTCCAGGTCCAGTTAAAGCAATCACAATTCAATCACAAACAGTAATTTTCATTTCTGGCGTTTTCGCGTCCGACAACACCACCACATATTTACGGAAATGGGATGGCAAGAAATTTATCGAAATTGGCAATAACAAACTCAACTCTAATTCTACTGTAAACCAACTTCAAATTGTTCCGATGCAAACAACACACAACAGCAATGGAATTCTTGATGATAACTTTATGCTTCTCGTATCTGGATCACTTTCGTTAGAAGATTATGGTAATGTTAGTACTGCTTTGTTCGATGGTGAAGTTTTTTATCCATATATCTATTCGTCGCAAACCGGCGGATTACCGGGAAATATCCTTTCGATATTTTTCTCGAATAACTTTGATTTCAATCCTCGAAGTATGTTCCGTTTGTTTCTTTTATAAATGTGTTGTTTTGTTAGTTTATTGATAATTACTGGTTTATTTTCATTATTTTAGAATTCCTTGCTGTACCTCTCGTCATCTTAGTATCAATCTCAATTGCATTAGCATTAACTTTCTTGATTGTCGCGATTGGGAGGTTAATCATGGAGATAAATCGTAAAAAGAGTTCAACGAACATTCCACAAAATCCACGCAACTCCATGCTCTCAACAAAATCATTTACAGAAATTAACCAAGCGCTCATCGCTTCAAATATGTACAACACTGCTGACCTACGAAATTCCGAACTCAAATCAAGTGAAAAACCGCTAGATGAATTAGCCACCGCTGGTGTAGTTTCTGTTGCTGCTGCTGGTGGAATAACCCAATCCCAACCCGGTCATGACTTGTCATTGGAACCTGAAAATGCTCAACAAATTCCTCCGACGTCTAATGTTTCTGAAGGAGAAAGAGATTCCGAGACTAGTGATATGATGCCTTCGACGTATATGGCCGAGGATACAGCCTCAGGGTCGATTGATGCTACTGGTGGGTCATCAACTGGTGGTGGCGCATTTCATGAAATATTTCTCAATGGTGGCCCTGAGGTTTATTATGCAAAATATCATTTTGAGGCGAGAGAGTCCGCAGAGTTGGGTTTCGAGGTGGGAGATAAAATACATGTAATAGATAAAAATGATCCAATATGGTGGATGGGTTTATTGGACAATGGTAAGTAATTATTGATTTTTACGGGTTTCTTTTTTTTTGTACTTGGAATTAATCGCTTTTATTGCCTTGTATAATAAAGGAACGGGAAGGCCTAGGCAGGGCGTATTTCCAAGTAATTATGTAACACTTGATCCACCACCATATGATCATGATGAAATGCTTGAAAATCAACCACCTTCACAAGATTGAGTGAAATAATCTCACACATTTGGACACTTTTTATTTTCTCCAAATAAGAACACGCAAAAATTTTTATCACATGCACCCATCCTTTTTTTTCTATACATATTAAATTGCTCCACACTATTTTATCTTAATCTAATCAATTTATAACCCTCACAAAACATCAAATAATTCTAATTAAGGTTCCCATTCTATTTTACATTCCCTTCCAAAAAATTTAATAGATATTTGTATTTATAGATTTTTTCCTAGAAATCAGTATAATGTTGTTACGATTTTTTATATATATACGTATAAAAAATAAAGGATGCTGGTGATCGTATAGGTTGTTTGAGAACATCTATATTAGTATTGGAGGGGAGAGCACAATATTTGTTGTGTTGTTAGTTTATCTCTTAATAGAGCATTATTATATTAATATTAATGCAAGAATTAAAAATATGAAAAGGATTGGATTTTGTTAATTCTTTTTTTTGTATATATAAATAAATTTATTATTAAACAAATAAATATAATATATTATTTTATTAATTTATATTCTTAAGAATATATTATATTATAATTTACTTGTATTTATATTTTATGTTTTAAAAAAATCAACTTTAAATAAATATACTAATATAATATATTATTATAGTAATTTAATAAAGAATTATTATTTATATTTGTATTATATATAATATGAGTTGATGTAAAAAGATTTATATCTCAGATAAATATTGATATTAATAGATTATTTTTTCAAAATAAAATTTTAATTCTGTTTTATTTAGATATTGGAATTTATTTAAAAATTTTTATTAATAATAACTTTTTTCAATTATTATTTCTTAAATTTTACTATATAAAATTTGATTAAAATTAATATAAATATTATATAGTAAATAATTTAATTACTTAACTTTGAATCTTAATATCTTTATAATTACTAATTCAATTTTTATGAAATTTAAAATATATATTTATCAAATCTAGAACAATCTACTTGTGTAATTTGAAGTTTTAATATTATAAATAATAATATTTAAAGTATCTTTTTTTTTAAAAAAAATAATTTTATTTTAATTTTTTTTTAGTAAAGTAATATTTTATTTATTATTAAATTAAAATATAATAAAATAATTAAAATGATATAAAAAATTAATTTAGATTATTTTTTATTTATATAAAAAATTATAAATATTAGTTAAAATAATTATTATTTTTTATATTAAAATATAAATCTTATTATATTAATCTATAATTATTATATAATATAAAAATAATATAAGAATATTTATTAGATAATAATAATAATAATTAATAAAATAATAAATAAATAAAAAATTATAATTAATTAATATTATTATTATAATATTATTATTAAAATTAAAATTTAAAATTAGATATATTTTAATATTAAAATTTAAATCATATTTAAATTTTAATATTTAATTTAAATTTTAATTAAAATTAAGTTTTTATAAAAATTTATTAATATTTTAAAAATTATATAAGATTATAATTATATTTTTATAAAAATTTTATTAATATTTTTAAAAATTATATAAAATTATAATTATATAATTAAATAATATTATTTATATATTAATATTTTTATAATTTAATATTATTATTATTTAAATAAAATATAAATACAAATAAAAAATAAAATAATTTATAATAATATTTAAAAAATAATATTTAATATAATAAAATTCAAATTAATTATAAAAAATATTTTATTAATATTTTTATTAAATATTTATTTTTATATTTTATATAATATATAATAGTTATCAAAAGTAATATAATACTTAAATTTTTTATTAATTATAATTAGTAAAATACATGATTTTTCTTACATATAAAAGTTTTTAATTTTACTAACAAATATTTTTTATTTT